TCTCTCTCTCTCTCTCTCTCTCTCTCTCATGTTGCCCAAGTCTTTTAACCTTTTACAATATTGGTTGTATCATTGGAAAGCTTTTACAAATGTGAAGCAAACATTGCTGGGGTCTTTGATTTTTTTTGTTCTTTGTTTCTTATCTTTTTTTATTTTTATTTTTCCTTTTTCTTTCTTTTTTCAGAGTTTTGAAAGTCTGGAAAAAGATAAATCTAACTCAGAGAGCTGCATCTTTTTATTTATATTTTATGTTCATTTCTTTCTTACCACCCCTTCAGTATGGCTGATCCATGGGGAATCCATGATTAGAATGGTTCAGGGGGAAGACACTTGTCTTCCAACTCCTGCCAAATGTGAAATAGGAATATAAACTGCAATATTTTGTTACAGTATACCCACCAAAGTGATTCACAACAAACATGGCAACCTCCTCAGCTTACAGCACTTCAGCATCTTTGTATATGCTGGCAAGATAGAGCTTTGACTAGTATACTGTTTGTACTGAACATTACCAATGCAATAGTAATCATAATACAAGTGCCACTTCAGACCTCTCCTATCCCCTTCAGTCTCAGGGGACCCATAGGAGAAGAATAGTGAATAATAGCCTGGGGTATTTCCTTACCAGGGGTAGTCCCTAAACACCCCTTCTGCTAAGGCATGTCCATTTTGTTGACAAGTCCGTGGACCCTCTTTCCTTAGAGCATTTCCATACTCAGGGCAAGTCCTAGGACCCTCTTCCTTTAGGCATTACTTACTGGTGGCAAGCACAAGATGTACTATGGGCAAGCCCCAAACCCTCATTTCCCTTAGGGAAATTAGTTGTAAATTGGCCATTGTAGTCTTTAACATGATAATAATGTATAGTAATAGGGTAATGTAAAGTCAAATAGTGTATAGTTTTTCTCTTTTCTAACCTGAAAATTGATATGCAGTCAGTATATTCATATTCACAGCCAGTACAATGTCATGCTCATTTCAGTCTCCAAGGGTTAAAATGACAGGTATAAAGAATGCCATTTACAAAAAAACAAAGATTGTGGGAATGAGTGAGGCGTATAGAGAAAAGGCAAGAGAGAGAATTAATTATCTGGTATATGAACTAGGCAGTAAACGAGTGAATGAGAGAGAAAAAGAGAAACAGAAATTGTAAAAAGTAGTAGAACAGAGAAGGAAGGGAATGGTCTTAGAAAGGGGAATGCCTCTGCTAATTTCATCATAACATACTGCCTGCTCCCAAAATTTGATGAATGATGAATTTGTTTGGGTCATATGACATCAAAACTGTTTTGCCAATTTTTTGTTGTTTGAGCTACATGTATCTGACAGATCAGAATCACCTCAGTCACAGTATGCCTTTACTCTGCACAATAAGGTAAAAGCCAATTTACATCTTTTAAGTGATTGAATACTGTAGTGGATGAAGGAGTCTGAAAGGAATTGCAGGGATAAGGGTATTGGTTCAGAGATGAAGCCCCCTAGTAGGGAAATATGGCAGTTGGAAAGCTATTGGTTCATATGGCAGTATTTGCTGTAATATATGTATTTTTTTATTTGTATGCACATCATCAATTTGAATTCATCATGACTGAATCTTGGCTCATGTTTTCCACTTTCAAAATTGATTTTCTTTTGTCATCTGCAATGGTTGGCAGAGTTTTTTCCACAGTGCTATGAGCAACTTTGACCATGTCCTCCACCCCTCACCCCCAGATCCCTGTAATCCCAGGTGTGCAGGTGTGCCCCCCCAAAAAAAAAAAAAAAAAAATCCATCTGTGCTTGCCCCATTGCTTAAAGATTTAGTTTCTGAAAAATAAACTTAATGTGAAGTATGGAGACTTTTTCCATGCTCTTTTTTACAATATTCATATTTCAGCAATCATACTAATTTTATATAGAAAAAGAAAGTGCAATTTATCTACTTTTCAGTGTATTTTTTCTAAATGCAATTGGATTTACAGTCTTATATATATTATAGAAAATATAAAAACACATTCCCTGTCTTTTCAGGTGTAAAAAGTCATTTTGAATTTTTTTCCTTTAAACCACATCAAACATGTATAAAACTGAGCTTTATGAATGCATGTACATATGTGCAAACTTACCCATTTAATACAAACATGCTTTTGTATGTATACACATACATGCACATATGCACACAAGCACATAATTGTTTGGAACCTTTACAGTTGTTAAGGTAATAGCCACCCTAGAAGGCTGTTGGTTTACAGTTTGATGCTTTTTACCTCAGGGAAGGAACAGAATTGGCACTTAATATCCAAAGAGGATATTTACCAGGCTTTTGCAAGTATGAAACAACCTTCAGTTCCAAGGGCAGTCCCCTAGATTGTTTAGTATTTTAGTGCTGTTTGATTACTTAACCATTTTATGTATCAAATGTAATTACCAATGTTTATACATTTCTTTTCTTGACTATGGTATTAAAAAACTAAGACATGTCTGAAATTGTATAGGATAATAAACAGGAAGACTGTGAGCTGTGAGCAACACACGAGAGCGTGGTCATTCAGTTTAGTCTTGTTTATTGACAATGGGGTATATAGAGTGTGAGATGGAGTGTGTTATGCAACTGATGAGGCAGCAAAAGCCAGATTCACCAAATGTCTATTTAAGAAAAGGAAAAAAAGTATTCTTGTTCAAAAAGAATTTTCCATTTTATAATTCAAAACAAAATGTAGTATGATTATCATTATCTCCTCTCCCCTCATAGGATTAAAAATTGCAGAACAGTAAATTTTATGAACGCAGTGTAATAATTACAATTTCAGGATGGAGTATAATTCAGTAAACATTTATCAAAAGATATGTTGCCATTCATAGTTTTCAAGGGTTACTTTGTTTGGTTTATATACTCAACTTTGAAAGCTGTGCAGTAGGATTTTAACAGCTAATGACCAATGCATAAAAGTATGGGCTGTCAGTATTTAAAAGATAAATTATAAATGGAAAGATATCCTTTAGATATTATAGATATTAAGAAAACAGGGAAAATTTGCACTCTTTTGGTATTATGGATGCAAAAGTACTCAGGGTCATTAAAAATAAAATACTAAAACTATTGAGGGGACTTGCAAGTATTTGTTGACTATACACTACAGCTTCATAAACGAGTATGGTTATGGTGCCTGACATATGGCTCAGTGGTGCATGGCCAAAAGCCAATGCCATAGAGTGGATGCAATTGATACTCCACTTACATGTCACATGAATAATTATTGCATAATCTGTATATTTTATTTTACCAGAAAATCAGTGATAATCATAGTCTTATCTGTACAGTTTATCTGAAAATGAAAATCATCTATTTCTAAATTGTCATCAATAGTAGGAATGAGAATTTTTTTTTTAATTATGCAAGATAATTTATTATTTGTTCAATTTGAATGATGAAGATTAATGGCATGAAAACACTTGAGATTGCTTGATAACAAGATGATACTCAATGAAGGTATGTTCCAAAGAAGATTAAGTGTATCTCTGAGCATGAAAAGGTCTCTTAAAGATCAAAGTTTTACATGTGAAGACAACACATCTACTTCAAGGTGATAGTCCCCACAGATAGAGAGAGAAAGCATATGTATGAGGGAGAGAGAGAGTGAGAAAGAGAGACTGATAGTGAGACTGATAGTGAGACTGATAGTGAGACTGATGAGACGTAAGCATGAGTGTATGAGAGTGAGTGTGCTTGTGATGAGTGATGTGTGTGTGAGTGCATGTGTGTGTGTGAGTGCGTGTGTGAGTGCGTGTGTGTGAGTGTGTGTGAGTGCGTGTGTGTGTGTCTGTGAGTGTGTGTGTGTGTGTGTGTGTGTGTGTGTGTGTGTGTGTGTGTGTGTGTGTGTGTGTGTGTGTGCATGTGTGTGTGTGTGTGTGTGTGTGTGAGTGCATGTGTGTGTGAGTGCGTGTGTGTGAGTGTGCGTGTGAGTGCGTGTGTGTGTGTTGGTGTGTGTGTGTGTGTGTGTGTGTGTGTGCGTGTGTGTGCGTGTGTGTGTGTGTGTGTGTGTGTGTGTGTGTGTGTGTGTGTGTGTGTGTGTGTGTGTGCATGTCTGTCCGTGCTTGTGTGTGTCTATGCATGTGTGCGTCTGTGCGCCCATGTGTGTGCTTCCATGTGTGTCCATGCGCATCCGTCCGTGTGTTTGATAAATAGCCAACTATGAAAACAACCATTCAGAGACTGATAAAGATAGGGAGCATTTTTACTTAAAGTCAAAGGTGCACTGGTTGAATAGCAATAGTAAAGAGGGATAGACCCAGAGCTTGAAAATGAAAGGTCATGAAACAGACAGTCGTGGAACCTGATGTTTGGAATGCTGGGTACAACAGCTGATCCAAAAGTTTCCGCAGTTCAACAACTAAGAAAGAAAAAATAGATTGTGATCACAATGTATATTTAATCATTGTACTTGAATTGGCTCATGTAATCATTTAATATCATCATATGTCCTATATTTGTGGATATTTTTTTTCTTTCTTTTTTTCTTTCTTTCTATCTTTGATATTAGAGAGATTTGATAGTCTCCTTTTGTCTGTTTCAGATGTAGGTTATCTTTATGGGGAATATGTACATCATAATCAATGATCATTAACTTGTGATTATATTGATAATAAATTTAATGTGGATAAAAGGGAGACAATAAACAAAACAGGTCTTACGCAGAATTTCATGAACCCTCTATTTCATCTGGAGGAAGGATATCAATACAGAGATTTTGAAATAGATTATTGAGTAAGCTCCACTTGGAAAAAAATATGATGGCTGTTTTCATCCTAAAAGTTGTTTTCTAAAGTTGTATGCATTTCATATAGAAGGTTAGATATCAAAAGTGTATTGTGCAAATATTTTTCATTTTTGTTATACCTGGCTGGCATCCCATGAATTTTAAGGAGAAATAATCATGAATTATTATGTGCTTAAGAAAAAAGCAGGAATTATTACTCACCTTTGATTTTTCAATTTGCTGAACTAACTTTTTTTTTCACAGGTTTTGCGAGACTGTCCTAAGGCAAGGCGAGAGGTGGATTTACACTGCCGTGCATCATCCTGCCCACACGTTGTTGCAATAATTGATGTTTATGAAAATGTATATAACAACCAAAAATGCTTATTGGTTGTAATGGAATGGTAGATATTTAGATTTATTTGGTTATAAGTTTGAATTTGGAAAGACATTAGTGTCATTGGTTTACAGAATGTTACACTACATTTTTGGTCGTAGAAATAATGTATTATAACTTATTTACATTTTTTTGTAGTTTGAGATCGAAAATGACTTTCATTAGAGTATTTTTTGTTTGAAAATAAGTATATTATTTATTATCTATAGGATTAGCTTATGTAGTGTAACATGATGTTTCCAAAGGGACACTCGAGTTACAATTCCTATTAAGTACTTAAATCACATAACATAGAACATAGGGCCTATTAAACAGTAGTAACTCATAATCAGCATAGCTAGTAAATTCATATTCTTATTCTCTTTGAAGATATGTAATCAATCATAAAGAATTTTTTTCAAAATTGGGGGAAATAGGAATTCATGTTGCAGGAAATTATGAAGTGTACAAGCTGTAGTGTTTTGAAAAATGTTCTTATTTTTTACATTGTTCATGCGAAAGTTTTAGCTTAATGATAAGGAAATTTCTAGACAATTCTTCTTTACATATTTCCCCAAGTCAGTTTAATCAGTATATACTTGATAATGTCTTGACACAACACTGCTTCAAAGCAATGGATCACCTCTTACATTTGACTACTGTAAGAAGAAAAATCCAATATCTGATCTTCACATATTTATCTGATTTTGAGAGTATAAGTGAGAGTGAGGGAGTGAGTGAGCAAGTGAGTGTGTGATTTGAAAAGCTAGCCTGCCAGATATTCTTTTAATAACTACTGGCAGCCTCCTTGCACAAGTATAAAGGATGAAATGATACAGGAGGTAATGATGCCACCATGGTAAATACTTGTTTATGAGGATCAGTTAAGGCAGAAAAATGTGAAAAGGAGGAAAATGTGAGTGCAGACATCTATGACTTCTATATGAGTCATGAATAACAGAATAGTAGGTGAACATGAGTTTGATCTTGCACTGTTATTACCATGAAAACATATTCAGTGACTTTAACAGAAATATTACTTATCTTCACCTTTGAAACATTAGCTGTTGATTGGCTCACAAGTAGTCAGTGGCTCATCCCTGAATGGAGAGGTAGATAGGTATAATAGAGATGACATAGTTTTACTTCTCCTAGTTGAGAACATATTTGATATCCAAGATATCAACTCGATATTGATGGGTTGCTCAACCCTTTGGTCTTGGATAAAATGAAATTGTGCAATGGCTGTGGTGGACCGAGTTGCAGATGGCTGTGCATAATGACATACCCCACACCATGGGCTCATCAGATGGAGCTCGTCTTTCTCCAATAGTAGTAACATCTTTTGTTGGATGTCACTATTAGACCCATGAACCTAAAGTTGAATGGAAACTAAATTCTTTTAAAACATTTGTTTAGATATATTTAGTCATTACCAGATAATTGGTAATTATTGATTTTAAGGTTTGTGTTATGTGTTCCTAAATGTTATTTATCAGGTATGCATAGATTATTTATCAGACATTTCTTTTTGTTGTTGTGGAAGGGCATAGATATTCAGAATTTTGAAAGGATTCTTAATCTCTTGTTGTATTAAGTAATGTAATCAGGATGATGATGATTTTTTTCTGCTTGGTGTTTGTGTGTATGCGTGTGTGTGTGTGTGGAAGGGATGTGGGTTTGGGAGTGTTTTTCAGCTATCTCAAGAAGGCAATCTAAACCTGTATTATCAGTAGTGCACTTACAGCAGGGTAATACGCGTCCAAGAAATAATTTTGCTAAGATTGATGTAAAGCAGAGTTAAATTTATATGTTCACATAATATAATTTTTTATGTACACAAATATCTTGCCTTTCTTCCTTAGCTTATGGCCTTATCCCTAGACCCCCTATGAAATAACCTGGGTCTGCCACTGTATATTGTAATCTAGGATGATTATAATAATTTTAGAAACATGCTATAACTGTGCATATATTCTGATAAAACAGAAATTTATTATAGGGTTGTATACATAATCAGTTTTTGCCTGATGTGGCACTAGTCATGAATCTCTCACAACAGCATGGAAGGTGGGGAGCTGTTCCAGCGTATCCAGGATAGAGCAGATGGTGCATTTACAGAGAGAGAAGCTGCCTGCATTATGAGAGAAATCTGTGTAGCCGTACAGCACCTACATCTTTTAAATATTGCTCATAGGGACCTCAAACCAGAAAACCTCTTATATACCACTGCAGGTTAGTATGATGTGATGGATATTTGTTTTATGTATTTCCCATAGAATTGCATTGCTTAGGGGTGTTTTCAAGGAGGGTGCAATGGTTTGAATCAAGGTGGCGAAAATTGGGTAGTTTTAGATTATCTGTACATCTGTACAATTGAAAAATTACCCACAAAAGTAATAGGGCCTCCATAGTAAAGAAATTTCATGTCATTGTCTCTGTAACTTTAACATTAAGATGAAATAGGTTTTTGTGTATTCCTCCACATATGATATTGATAATTCCAATGCAGATTGTGAATTTAGTCTTACAATTATATTGATTTAATTAGCATTTTAAGCATGTGGATGAAATCCTATATTGTTTTATTCTTCCGAGTTGGCATTTTATGTATTTTTTTGCAACCACTTCAACAGGCAATGATGCTGCTCTCAAGTTAACAGATTTCGGATTTGCTAAAGAAACCTTCTCAAAGGAATCATTGCAGACCCCATGCTACACTCCTTATTATGTTGGTAAGTTGTAGGGATGTGAAAAATCTGTATTTACAGAAATAGGAGCCCTAAAAGATACTCTCTGGGATCCACATGCAGACAAACACTCACATTTTGTGTGTTTATTTGTTTATGATATATCTAACATCTGCTTATTGTTCTAGCACCTGAAGTGTTGGGACCTGAGAAGTATGACAAAAGCTGCGACATTTGGTCATTGGGGGTCATCATGTATATTTTGTGAGTTTCAGAAAAATTATTCAAATTGTAATGTATTCGTTTTCTACTTTTTTCCTTCTTTTTTTGCAGTTCCTTTTCATTTTTATTCTTTTTTCTTTTACTTTGAATTAGCAGTAGCAGATAAAACTAAATAAAGTATGAAAGTCCTAAATACTATGTTGCTTAAACAAGTACAAGAATATTATTATAAAAACTTTCTCCTAACACCAAACTCTGCTGCTTGCAGGTTATGCGGTTTCCCACCATTCTATAGCAACCATGGCCATGCCATCTCTCCTGGCATGAAGAAACGAATCCGCACTGGGCAGTACACTTTCCCCAACCCAGAATGGGCGAATGTTAGCCAGGATGCCAAGGACCTGATCAAGGGAATGCTGCGGACAGACCCCGAGGAGCGACTCACCATTTTCGATGTTATGAAGAACAAATGGATTGTGGTGAGTGGCATGTTTGCTTATAAGTTTTGCTTTAGTCAGTTTTCTTTTATATGAGTTGAAATGCAGACTGTTTCTATAGTGAAGGCTTTGGCAGTTAACCCCCTGAAATCCAACAACACACAATTGAGAGTATTTCTATTTCTGAAGTTTGATCTGAGTTTAATTGAATGAGCCTATAAATCAGAAACTGGCAGAATTTTTCTAGATATTTCTGTCATTATTGCGGGGAGTGTAAGGAAGTAATGCTGGTTTGGATCTACCAGCACAGATCTCCCTAATCCAACCCCATTCCTACATCCCCTTGTACCCCTTCATCTCCCCAAAGCGAGCCATACAATAGCCTCATGATGCCTATTTGGACTAATGCATAAACATAGGAGCTCTATGCAAAAATAATTATTGTAATGAAGTTTGCCTCCTTACCCTTTATACCACATTCAGTCCAGTCCATTAGAAAATAATGCTGATTTTACAAGTGTCATGAAGGGTTTACAGCTTTTAGGGGTAAAGTAGGGGATATCAGTAAGATTATATTATCATTTGAAATAAATGCTTAAGATTTTAACCCAATTACGATGGGTGTTACTTATGAGACACCCAGAGAAGGAAACATTGCCTGGCATCCCACTGGTGCGATGCTAGATCAGAGCTTGCGCTCTGATTTTGTTGCTTGGATTCGCCCACACACCAACTTTGAAGCCGCCCAGAAAATATTTTTTTCGGCTTGAAAATGTATCATCGCTAGTGGGTTAAAATATTACATCTCTGATCATCAGAGTTGCTTTAGGTATTCCAATAGCCATTTGCCAGTGGGATCCAGGTGCCTCATAGCCAAAACATGGACCATAATCAGAAGATTTGGCCTATTTGAATGGCAATTCTCCGTGGTATTTGCTTGTAGACCCAGCCCATATGATCACACGATTCTTTTTTGTACGTAAGGTTTTTTTGCTTCTCTGCAATTTTCTGAGCATTAGGCCTACTCTTCATTTGTTATGCTATGTGAAAATGGTAATAGATGGTTTTTGATGAACAGACTCCACATTGTCTCTCAAATTAGTTATAACTCTGCATTAACAATAAAGATAAGTAATGGTATGTTATGTCATTTTTCTCTTACATTTTTATGATATTTAAAATTCTGTAAGACACCCTGAATTTCTGGTCATGGTGGGTAGGAATAGGATCCTGGGCCTGGAGATAGTGTCTTCTCTGTAGCCAGCACTTTTTCAGCCATGTCTTATGGATGGTACAATCCACCTTTGTTTACTGGTGGTTAATGCAAGAGACTGCCTAAATGCCCTCAAAGTCTAATCTTTCTCCAAAAGCTTTTGTACACACAGGTCATTCTCAACACCATGGCCTTTTCATGATTGCACATTCCCTTCCCCCAGCCTTCACTCAGATTTTTCCTCGACAGCATATACATATTTCTGTATACTTTGTATATGATTCCCCCCCCCCCTTTTTTTTAACCAACCCACAACAGTCCATTTGAAGGGCGATAATGCCCATTTCTGGGCGGTATCAAAATCAGTGTGCCACCCGCCTTGGGCGACTCAATCAGAGCACAAGCTCCGATCTAGCGTCGCACCAGTGGAATATTCCGGGCATCACACTTGTGTGACACCTGGCGCAAGTAGGTTAAGATAAAATTAAAATGATAATAAATTCCCCCCCCTTCCCTTTCAGCAATATGCAGAGGTGCCCCAGACTCCCCTCCATACATCAAGGATTCTTCGTGAGGAAGGTGACCTCTGGCAAGAAGTTCAGGATGAAATGACTCGCTCCCTTGCCACAATGCGCGTTGACTATGACACTCTCCAAATCAAGGCATTGGACAGTGCCAATAACTCTCTCCTCAGTAAGCGCCGTAAGAAGGTCACTGACAACTGATTCAGGAAAAGTTTAGAAGCTGTTTGGCAAGGACCATTTCATGTGAGTGTCTTACAGGCTCCTTCAGTGCTAGCATAATTTAAAATGCATCCCTGTGGTTGATGCTTTTTACTGTACTGATGTAGAAGAGTTATTGGTGAAAGTCGGATGGTGTTGATGACTAATGCTGAATTCATGCACAAAGGTAGTGAGTTTGTATTGTTTTATTGATGATTAGGCTTCCTCTTTTTCTCTCTTTTCTTTTTTGAAAAAAAGTTGCACATTTTATCTATACATGATGCATTATACACAGTGTTTTTTGATAATGCTGTTTTACTTTTTTCATTAATTTATTGATATACTTTTTTATTGTATTTTTATTATTCTGTAATTTATTTTCATTTTATATATATACATTTTTTTTTACTATTCAATTTTACTTGTCCCATGTGCCACATACAGTTCACATCAACTTATCTTGGTTGTGCAATTGACAGTTTAAAGCACTGATTGTATGCAGTTTTATAAACAGTTTTTTGTCTGTTATTGTTTATGTGAAAACAATAAAAAAGAATGGTGCAAATACATAAGAATAAGGATTCACTGAAGTTGGATAAGATACTTTAGCCTGGCTCTGAGGCATGCATTGTTAAAAGTAAACATGGTATCCCTATCTTTCTTACCACATTGAATGACAAATGTCTGAACATCATTTCCTTGTTAACTTTTCTCATGTGTCATTCATTATGTCTTCATGATATAGTTACTTAAACCCATTGCCAACAGATAATGCAGTGTCCACAGTGGTTTTGCTTTACCAATTTTCTTTACATACAAATGGCTACACAAGCACTTACAAGGAATCTGTTAATAGGCCTACCGATCCCATTGTGTTTACTCAATTCCTGGAATTTTTTTGTTAATACTATCATCAATATTAATGTTATTTTTATTCTATTATTGTTATTGTAATATTATGAATAGTGATAATGGAAATTTTTAATAAAAACTTAAATTTCAAGGAATTTGATACACAGGGGAGGTAGGTAGGTCTAGTAACTAAAGCATTTATGGAACCATCTATAACAGTGATAAAACAAAGCCACAATGAATAATGCATGTACATTTGTACTCCCAGCATTAATGGGTTGATTGACCTACAGTATTCATGTCTCTTGACAATAAGAAAAATAGAGATCCAACATTTATTTTTAACAGTATGTAATAAATTCAGGTGTTGTGGGTTTATGTATAAAAACTGCTTCAGTTGCGTATGACAATAATCAACTTATCCTTGCTGTAAGTATTTCAGTCTGAGAAATGATAAGGAGTGAGAAGAGTTAGAAAATGTCTTTGGTCTTTTAGAAACTAGCAAGGATAACAAGAAATAATACTATTTATGTACACAAAGTTTGATGTCATGAACTCTTGTTAATACTCAGTGTATATATAGAACTGTATATTTACTTGCTTGTTAAACACAAAATTAATCTGTGATTGAGAATAGTGTGAACTTCATTTTTAACCCAGTGTAAAGTAAAAGGGTTGGTTTTTTAAGAATTCTTTTTCATCTTTATCTTCTTTTTCTTCATCTTTGTCTTCTAAGTAATTGTTCCTCTTTAGGTTGAAATAATGAGAGAAACATAAAACGAGACCCAGATTATGATTTATGGGACTTTTACTTCTGAAAGATAAGAAACATCAAATACAACAATAGCAAGCTGTTGAAATGCATGTTTAAATGTCCTGTTTAAGGTCTGAAGTTTGATGAATTACTACCAAAAATATTCATCAGTAGTATTTATACCTTTAATGTACCCTTTCATGTGTGGACATTTCACCAAGCCTTTTTACCTGTCAAGTCACCATGAACATAGTACCGTAAATTTATAGATAACTCAGATACTTATATGTATCTACTGATTGTGCTGACATTTGTTAAAGAGTATGTTGATAATATTCATAGCATTTTTAATGCACCATTGTGCTGTTTGTTAGGTAATAAACATTAGTTCATTAATTTGGTATGTATGAATGTACGAGTATGTGTCAACAGAGATAATAGCTTTAAAAAGGTAATTACAAAATAACTTAATTTTTTATTGGTACTGATGCTAATAATTACTCTTATTCTAATTAGTTAGTATTGTGTAATGGATGATATATCTTGATTAATAACAGGATGTCGTAAAATTTAACATTTTAGTTTAGTCTGTGTGCATTAGATAAAAAAACAAGGAAACAGCATTGCAGCATAAGAACACTGTGAAAGTTTTTGATCATGATTGAAGAACAATAAATGTTTTTTGTTTTAGATTTTGAGAACTCGTATTTTCTCAATCTAAGACAAAATATGTTTTCTAAATTGCTCTGCCATGATTTTTCTTTTTCCCTTTCAATACATAGTGACACAAAGAGAATATTTTTTAAAAGCTCTCGGCAGAATAGTGAAATATTTTGCTTGGATGTTTCTTAACCCATTGCTGCCGGGTAATTGCAGTCTACAGTAGTTTTTTTTATGAATTTTGTTTGCATGTAGACGGCCCCACAAATGCTCAGCCACCAAGCAGCTAATTGGTAGACCCTTGACCTCACCTGATTTTTGTTTTTCTTTTTTGTTGTTGTTATTGTTATTATAATTTTTTCAAATTAATTATTGACATTATGATTATTATGATGTTATGAACTATAATAAGGGCCTTGAAAAATTAAGAAGAATCTTTCCAAGAATCAATAAAAAAGGTAGAAAGAGAGATAGGCAGGACTAGTAATTGGCTCCTTGGTGATTAAGCACTTGTGGAGCGATGTGTAGAGACAATTAACAAACAAAGAAGCACAATGGACATGGCATGTATTTTTGCCATGCTATGATCAGTGGGTTAGAAACCCATACGTACAAGCCCAATGCTTTGCTAGCACATACACACATACTAAGAACAATCATAACATCAGCATTGTGGGGATGTATAGATTGTGTTTGCACATTTCTTTGTTTAACTTATTATGCTGGGAGGGCATGTACATAAATGCCCAGTCCACTGGGATTTTTGTTTATCAATTTTTTTAGTGGTAGAGTGCTGGCCTAGCATTTGTAGTGTCTTGAGTTTGTGCCTAGTTGCCTCTTTCTGTCAACTCAGCTTGGAATCAGCATGTTGTGGTCAAAGTTGGGATGGAAAGGAACTGACCACCCTCCTGCATCACCCTGTATGCTAGTGTGCTTGTCTCTTACATTAACTTATGGGACCAGCTTTGACTTCTTTTGTATACATAGAAGGCTCAGAGGAGTTAGGGGTCATAATTTTTTTTATTATTTTCACAAATGTACAAAAAATACTCTTATTCCCAGGACCTCCTCCCCACTCCAGAAAGTACGAAGCAAAAGGATAAAAATGATAGACCTCTGCCACAGGATCTCCAGGGTCTAAATGAATGCAATGAAACTTAGTGATTCTAGCAGGCAACCATTATAAGACATCTTGCATTGACTAATAATCAGTGAAGGATGTCGTGTCTTTGTCCATGGGGCTTTCATAAAAAATCTCATTTGCAGCATGTCTTCCTGTCTTGATTTCAACAATGCAATACAAGGGCAATAAATAATGTTTAGTTTTTAATTTGATCTAGATTGTCATTTGTTTTCATGTTTAAAAAGTGTATGCCAGAGATTACCACTCTTTCCCCAAGCTTACAGTTTGTACACATGAAAATTTGAAAAAAAATGGACGACCCCTAACCTAACCTGCCATATTTGGCGGTGTTACTCAATTTCTTGATTTTTGAAATATTTTTTTTAGTGCTTTATTATTAGTGGTATTGCAAGCAATAGTACAATAACCATAATGTCAAATATGATGATGATGATAGTAACAATAATAATAACTTAAAAAAATATTAATATGTATCCTGACAATTCAAGGAATGAGACAATCAGTTGAGGTCAGGTAGGCCTACGAATTGACTTCTTGGTGACTAAGCACTTGTGGAGGCACCTATGTATAAACAGAATTTACACAAAAAAAAAATCAGTGGATAGTGCACATACCTGGTGCCAATAGGTTGAGCATGTGAGCTTGTGCATATAAGCATTTAAGTAAAAATATGTAAGCAAGTATAGTTTCAGAGAAGGGATAAGGTCTTGGTGTATATGTGTCTGCCCCCCCCCCCTCTCTTTCTCACCCTCTCCCTCTCCCTCCCTCTGTCTTTCATATCTTTATAATAATCAGGTATTTTAGAAACTGACCTGTTTCTTTGTAATTGTTGATTTAGTATAATTATTTTGTTTTCATCAATTTCTCTCTCCTCTTCTTCCTATCTCATTTTTATTTTTTACTGTTCCTATTCCTTCCTTTATTTCCATGTCTACTGTATTTTAGAGTGAGAAATTATTTAATTGGAATATAGATATTGAGGTCTCCAAATTTTTAATCATAAATGTGATATAATGTTGAAAACACATTTGGCAGAATTTACAGCTCGTCTTGTTTCAGGAGATTTTCGAATGCAAGTGATGTTACAGAGGTGAGTTCCGGCAGTAGCCATTCTATCCTTAAAATAAAAACATGTAAGCCATATGTTGAAATTAATTGATACTCTCAGGGACTCAGAAATTATGATATACTTCGAAATGTATCCCTTTCTCATGGTCTTCATATTTAGGTCATGTCATACCTGATCATTTTTAGATTCATTTGACATAACTTTCAGTAGGTTTATTTTGCTGTAAAGTCAGTTTTTTCACTTATTCCAGCTGTTGTTAGACCTTAGTCCTTAATCATGAATATTACAGATTTTAATATTTTCTTCTTTGTAGTATTATTTATAGAGGCCTTTGTACAAGGACAAAGAAGCTATTCCTTTAGACTGACTGCCATGAGTTTAATACTTAATGTAATGTTAATTTGCATATATGTTATGTTTACAAGTACTTTTTTTGTTTGTTTACAAAAGGCTGCTCTTGAGGTCAATATACACACATTGTACTTATAATTGTATCCATTCTTTTAACCCCCTAAAGGATAAGAAAGTTATGAACTCTATGCACACACAGTACAGGAAAAAATGTTACTCAAAACTCAGATTGTAATAGTAAAATTGCTGTCTTTTTGACGTGTCCTACACAGAACTTAGTATGACTGTTCCACATAACTTGTGCCTACACAACACCTAAAGAAACAAATTAATAAAAAAATCAGGTCAACTGACTTTTGGTGTCTTTCCCCCTGGGTAATGGACGTACCTGATTACATCAGTTGTCGTATATTGTCCTTTAGGGGTTGAAATTATTTACCATTCATTTTATGTATGATACAGAAATGACTTTGCTACTTGATTCACATTTAAGGATTTGTTAGTATGTCAAGTAATGATTGCATTTTTTCTTTAGATGTATTAAAAATATGCATATATTTATTGATATATTATTACTATTTAAATTCATATTTCTTCATTAGGGATTATAGCATACCAAATCATAATAAGCAGAGATATTGATTGATTGATTGATTCCCTATAATATGAGGTCGTAAGTGTGATTTGTTTTTTCAATGAAAAAATAGTTAATGTAATATTGATTTTTAATAATTGGTTAATCTCACAATAGATTTTATTGATGTGAAATTTCTTTTCTGTATCTTAATTTTTAGATTAAGAGCTTTAACATGACCACTAATGCAGTGCACATTTTAAATGGCTAACAAAACAGGTTTTTCACACACTTACCTTGCAGAGGACGCAAGTTGAGAAAGTTAATTCCTGAAGTGTAAGAAACAAATTAATGTCAAGGACAGTTTTAAAAGAACAAAATTTTGGGATGGTTATTTTTATTGAATCTTTTAATTGTAAATTATTGTCATTGCTACTGTAGGTTTGACTTGATGACTCTTTTAGATGGCATCAATTTGTTACTGATTGTATTGACTGTGTATCTTCTTTATTCAAACCCAGTTCCCAGGATGTGTAGACTTTGAGTTGGTTTGAATATTTGGCCTTTGTCAATTGTTGTGCAGTGCTTGGTTTGGCCTATAACTTAGGCATATAATGAGAAATGTAATGCCCCTCAAAATTGCATCATATTTTATGATATTCTTGTTTTCGAAAATGTATTGTGTACTCTTTTTCCCCAATTTAGGCTGTGTATGTTAATTATAACAGGCCTGATTACAATATTCAGTATTTTTTTTTATCACACTGCAAATAATGTAGAGAAGAATTTGTTTCTCTATGCTTTCAGTATAATTGTAATGATTGATGATTTATTTATTATTTCTTTATTTATAAGGAAATTATTAAATGTTTTCATTCATATTTTCCTTTACATAGATAAGGATCTTTGCCAACTATATGATTTCATGTGATTCCAGAGCATTAAAACTAAGTTTGATTTTATATGCATTTAAAGGAGGTTAAAACTCACCCAGAGTTTAATGTAAAAGCTTGTAGGTAATTTCCTTACTTGCTGATTAGCCTTGACATTTCAGCCAGAATAAGGAGTTTTAGTAAAGCATATAACAAACATAGATTGTTCATTACCCTATAAGCATTAGAAGAAACTGGTACTGTTAAAAAAAAAAATGTCTTTTTCATATGAATATTCAGAAATGCTTAGGGTGAATGTAGTAATTTTTGCTCTTGCATCATTGTTGTTATTTTGTTGGTTTGTTTGTTTTTGTAATTTCATAGTAAATGTGAGAAACGTCAACTCTCTTTATGAGAGATTTTATAAGTTAACAAAAAGGAAAAATAATAAACTATCATTAACACAAGTTATTCCTGAACTTCTGAAACTGCTCTAAATCAGTAAAAACAAAATGCCAGACATCTACATACATTTGTTGACATCCATCCTCCTTCCATTTATGTTCCCCCTACTCCCCTTCCTCCCATTCCCCCTACTTCATCTGTATTATCCCTCCCATTATCCCTTTTGCTTCCCCCTGGATACAATTATGAGTCTTTGTTACAACCACCTCACATGTGACTCTGTTACAACAATCCCCTTCCCTGGATTTGCTCCCTCCTGACATTTCTCCTGCAACTGTGATCTAATTGTCCTTAAACACATCTCTCCTTTATCTAATCCCTACCAAACCCTAAGGACATCTTTTCAAAATCCCACACTTCTTCTTTTGACAACTTTGATCTAATCACTCTTGTTAATCCTCCACCCCCCACATCTACTACCCCCTCCTGTATTACTACTCTGCAGCTTTATTGTCCATCTCCCTGCAGTACTACCTCACTCAACACTAATCCCTCTTCCACACATCCCTGTCCTACCTCCACCTCTACAAATCTTTTGAATACCCAGTTTAGCCCAGCCAAATGGGGTTGATTTTTCATGATCTCTACAGGCCCTTACTCTCCTCTTCCAGCAAGGTCTCCAAAATTAAATTGGCCAAAGATTCCTTCCACATCTGCCCCAATTATTCCAGCATTCATTGACTGTTAGGCCCTAGAGGCTGCCATAGGTCCTCCATCAATATTGCCAAGATTACTTTCTGTAGACATGACCTCCCCCATGATGTTTATATTGGCGGAGAGTCCTTGTCCTACCTCATCAACTTCCCCCCTGCCCAGTCAATGTCAGAACTGTTGGCATCTAGTCCATCCTGCCAAGCACTTCCACTCCACAGCCCAATACCCTCTGTGTGACCAACCAGGTAATGATCGATCAAACCTCTGCACTCACATGTGCCAATTGTTATGGCTCCCATAATTTATTTTGTTGCCCTACTTACAAGTTTAAGTCTAAGTCTGAGGTGACAATTCTCAGAATTGAACTTGGCCTCACTTCACGATGCCAGACAGGAAGAATTTCCGCAATTTTTTTTTTTCTCTTACTCCCCACTGTATCTATTCCTCCTCCATCTTACTTTTCCACTTCTACCCCCTCCCTCTCCCAGTCAAATTCTTTTGTCATTCTAAATCCAGACACCCCCTTCTCTATCACTGCACCAACACCTATTTATCTTCCTCCTCACTCAACCTGTTCCACTCCACCTTTTCCACACTCTTTCCTCCCCCCCCCCAATCCCTTGCCCATTGTTGTGGGGGGCTTAGAAGACAGAGACTGAGACCCAATGCAGGAATCTCCCCTGCCTAGGGCCTGAGCTCTTGACTTAACAAATTTTGCATGGTATTTTCTCCCTCCAGCTCTTTTGTTTCCATCCATTCTCCAACCCCTTCTACTATCTACTTCCTAAGGTGTAAGAGCTGTGCTGAAAGGATGAAAGGCTGACTTTGTGCCAGTCCTGAACTACCTGAGGGAATCATGGGCACGGTATTCCCTTTTTGTTTTTTAGCCCTTTCCCCTTAAGGAGACCCTGAGAGGTGGACTGTTTATTTCCCCAACATAGCCAAGGCTTCCCATGGCCAGTAATGAAGAAGTAATACCCATATTAGAGGCAATGAGGCTTAATGGTTAATGGTTAAAATAAATGTGCTATACATCTAAGGTCATATAGCACTATAGGAAGGTATAGAAAAGGGGATGTCAGGTGATAGTTGCTATGTGTCAACTATCTAGAGGAGTGTTGAGAGGTTGAAGAAGGGGGAAAAGGTTATGGTGGTTTAGGTAAGTGAGTTAGATCAAGTGAAGGATATTTATGCATCTGAGGAAGGAGAACAGGTTGTCAAGGCAGAAGCTGTGGGATTCTGTAAGGATGTCTGATATGTTGGGAGGTCGGCAAAGAGAGGATAGGTGTGGAAAAGCAGAGGTACGTGCTGTATTAAAGCGTGGACAGGACAAGAGAATGTGTGGAACTGAAAGAGGGATGTTACATAGAGGACCAATGTAGGAGAGCTATAGCTTATGAGTGATATCGCATATGGTACGTATTGGGGAATCTGGGGGAGAAGGAGCTAGGGGGTGTGAAGGAGGGGTATTAGGAGGTAGGGAATTTGGGGAAGGGTATTGTTGTGACATGAGTGATTCTCGTGTGTATCTGGGAAGGAGTGCAAAAGATAAGACGGGATGGAGGGAGGGAGAATGTGCCTATAGTTGGGGTTGAAGGGGGTGGGTTGTGTTGGGAGGGAGTAGATGTGGGGGGAGTATTAGTGGTAGGAGGGTGGATATCGGAAGGATGGATAGTTTAAGTTGAAGGGGATGTGTTGTCTTGGGAGGGATTAGGAGGAAGGGGTGTAGGGGTGCTGTGAGTAAGAGGGGGATGGATATCAGGAGGATGGATATCGGAGGTGGACAGAATTGAGGGGGTTAGGTTGTGTTGAGAGGGAGTAGGAGGAAGGGGTGTAGGGGGAATATTAGTAGGAAGGGTATGAATATCGGCAACCACTTCAAGTGTGGAATGAGCATGAGTTATGGGATCTTGTGTCTTAAGCATATAACTTTGGATGTCATCCATTGTTTCTGCAGTGCAATTGGTTGGAGAGTTTTGTGAGAAGGTAATTGTTTCTGCAATGGAGTTGGTTGGAGAGTTTTATGGGATAAAGGTTTTCATATGAGGGCGGGAAGAGGAGACTGGTGTCTCAGGAATAAAGGTAAAGGTAGGTGGAGGTGATTGTGCTGTAGGGGAAGAAGGGTTAGTCTGTCTACTGCGGGTAGTGCGGGGAGGGAGAGGGGATGGTGTTGGGGCTGTAGTTGAGACTGGAGCTGTGGTTGAGATTGGGATGTCTGGGTTTAGAGTGGCAAAAGAATTGGTCTGAGGGAGGTAGAATGTAGAAGTGATTGGGGCTGTAGTTGATATTGGAGCTGTGGTTGAGATTGGGGTGTCTGGGTTTAGAGTGGCAAAGGAATTGGTCTGAGGGATGTAGAAGTGGAAATGAGGACATCTTGGGGTGGAGGGGGAGGGGCTGAGCGAACGATGTTACTAGAGTATGGAGTATGAGAGAAACCTTGTCGACGTGCTTCCTGTCTGGCTTCACGTAAAGTGAGATCATTTTTGTATCTGAGAGTTGCTACCTCAGATTCAAACTTGTAAGTGGGACAGCCTCTATAAAATACATTGTGGGGGCCGCCGCAGTTAGCACATGTTCGTGTTTGTGCTGAGCAGTTTGATCGGTTATGACCAGGTCGGGCACATATGGGGCATCGGTCTGTGGAATGGCAATGTTTGGCAGGATGTCCAAAGCGCCAACAGTTTTGACATGGACGGGGAGGGGGTTGGTATGGTTGAACAGGGAGGGATTGTCCACCGATGTAGATACGTAAGGGAAGGTCATGTGTATGGAAGGTAATTTTGGCAATGTTGGTCGGATTCTTTCATTGACCTTTAGGAGGAATGGTGTAGCAATGTACTGATTTCACATCTTGGTCTTTGAGGCATCCTAATAAGTCTTCTCCACAGTCTGACCAATCTTTGGTATCGACTAGGCAGTTTGCTGTTGTACTAAGGGTTGGATGAGGTTCTGCAGGAATGGAGTTGCCAGAATGATCAGTTAAATTTGATAGTGCTATAGATTCAGTTTCTGATCTGACTGTTACAAGACGGGAGCGATCGCGTCTGGTATAGAAAGGGACTCTGCCTACTTGTTTTTGGAGGCATTGTTGAAAGAGAAGAGTGTTGCCTGAGTAAGGAGCTGTAGAAGGGATCACAAAAAATCAGTCCCATTTAGCTTGGCTAAACAGAGTATTTAAGATATCTGTAGGGTTGGTGGTGGTGGATGGTTGGGGACGGGTGGAAGAGGGAGTATTATGGAATGATGGAGAATAAGGCTGCAAGGTAGTAATAAGGGAGGATTGCTTGATGAAGGTTGCAGGGGTAGAGTTGATGAATTTGAGGAAGTTGGGTGGATAGGAATGTCTTCTGGAGATTTATTCTCTGCTTGGGTGGGTAATGCACTAGTAGGCATTGAGGAGTGGGTAGTAGTTTGTGTTCGGAGCCGTGGTCAAAGGAGAGCCTGGGTTAGGGCTATTTGATAAAGGGGCTAGCCTCATTGCCTCTAATAAAGGGATTACATTTTCATTACTGGTCATGGGGAACCTGGATTATATAAAAGGCATCAACTGGTCCACCTCCATCGCTAGTGAAAGGTAAGGGCTAGATTAGTCGGGAGTACCGTGCCCATAGTTCCCGCAGGCCGTTTAGGACTGGCACAAGGTCAGCCTTTCATCCTCTCAGTGCGGCTCTCACACCTTAGGAAGTAGATAGTAGAAGGGGATGGAGAAGGGATGGAAACAAAAGCTGGAGGGGGAAAAGACCATGCAAAATTAGTTGCGTCGAGGGCTGAGGCCCTAGGCAGGGGAGATCCCTGCATTGGGTCTCAGTCTCCGTCTCCTAAGCCCCCCCACAACAACAACAAGCAAGGGATTGAGGGGGGGCAATGAGGCTTGCCCCTTCATCATATAGCCCCACCAGTTCAAACTCTACCAGATCCCCAACCCCAGCCTCTCCTTTGTCCACAACTCTGAACACAACTACTATCCACTCTTCAATGCCTGTGCATTATCCACCCAAGTTGACTCCTTATCTCTCAACTTCATCAACTCTACCCCCACAGCCTTCTTCACCAATCACATCATCTTCCCACTCNGAGAGAGAGAGAGAGAGAGAGAGAGA